GCTTCATGATAAAGGAATGCCTTATTATATGTGGGCAGAAGCTGTGCATACTGCTGTCTATCTGTTAAACAGATGTCCTACCAAATCACTGGATAGTATAACACCTTTTGAAGCTTACAGCAAAAGGAAACCTGGTATTGCTCATTTGAAAGTTTTTGGCTCGGTTTGTTATGTTCATACTCCATCCGAGCTAAGACACAAGCTAGAACCCAAGAGTATAAAAGGAGTCTTTGTTGGATATGCAAAATGTGAGAAAGGTTATAGAGTATTTGATCCACTCTCTAAGAGACTGATTCTGTCAAGAGATGTTGTGTTCGATGAAAACTCAGCTTGGAATTCGGAAAGAAGCGCAGAAAGATATATGTCACTGCCTACTTATGAAATTGACACGGTGGATACACCAAGAAGTGAGAATACAGAAAATGACACTCAAGGTTCAAGTGGTTTATCACCTGGTATATTGGAAGAAGCTGCAAGTGGTATTGATGATACACATGACAATTCTCAGTCAAGTGCAGGTGTGAGTGACACTCAGGCATTTGATCATACTCCATTAAAATGGAGAAAGCTGGATGATGTACTTGCTCAATGCAATCTGTGCATTATAGAACCAGAGAAATTTGAAGATGCAGTTAAGGATGAATCTTGGATGAATGCTATGAAGGATGAGCTCTCCATGATTGAAAAGAATGCAACTTGGGAGTTAGTAGACAAGCCAAGTAACAAGCCTGTAATTGGAGTAAAATGGGTGTTTAAAATCAAACTCAACCTGGATGGATCTGTGCAAAAGAACAAGGCAAGGCTTGTTGCAAAGGGATATGCCCAGAAACCAGGAATAGACTACAATGAGACTTTTGCTCCTGTTGCTCGGTTAGATACAATCAGAACCCTTATAGCATTGGCTGCACAAAAGAGGTGGAAACTCTATCAACTTGATGTCAAGTCGGCTTTTCTAAATGGTGTTCTAGAGGAGGAGGTTTATGTGGAGCAGCCTGATGGTTTTGTAGCTAAAGGGGAGGAAGACAGGGTATATAAACTTCACAAAGCCTTGTATGGCCTAAAACAGGCACCACGGGCCTGGTATGGAGAGATCAATACATATTTCTTACAATGTGGTTTCACAAGAAGTTTAAGTGAACCAACACTATACATCAAGGCAGAAGAGAAAGACATTTTGATTGTGTCGATCTATGTGGATGACATAATCTATACTGGGAGCAACAAACAAATGCTTGAAAAATTCAAGGAAGACATGACACGAAAGTATGAGATGACTGATTTGGGTCTTCTCCATCATTTCCTTGGAATGGGAATAATTCAATCAACTTCAAGCATTTTCATCCACCAAAAGAAATATGCAAGCTCTCTGTTAGACAAATTTGGTCTAAAAGAGTGCAAACCTGTGCTTACTCCATTGGTTGCAACTGAGAAGTTAACCACGGATGATGGAAGTGGTGCAGCAAGTGAAGAGTTATACAGAAGCATGGTGGGAAGTCTCTTATATCTCACTGCAACCAGGCCCGATATTATGTATGCATCCAGTCTGTTAGCCAGATTTATGCACTGCCCTACCAGTAAGCATGTTGGAACTGCTAAAAGAGTGCTAAGATACATTAAGGGCACACTTGATTATGGTCTGGAATATGTGAAAGGTAAGAACTCAATGTTAATTGGGTTATGTGACAGTGATTGGAGTGGTCAATTGAGGACAGTAAGAGTACTTCTGGTTATGCTTTCTCCTTTGGCAGTGGAGTATTCTCTTGGGCATCTGTGAAGCAAAATTGTGTTGCTCTTTCCACTGCAGAAGCAGAGTACATTAGTGCTTCAGAAGCAACTACTCAAGCCATTTGGTTGAGATTTGTTCTTGAAGATTTTGGTGAATTTCAAACTGAAGCCACTCCAGTGCACTGTGACAACACCTCAGCAATTGCAATCACCAAGAACTCTGTGTTCCATCAAAAGACCAAACACATTAACAGAAGATACCATTTCATCAAGGATGCACTGAAGGATGGCATCATTGATCTGGTGTACTGTCCAACTAATGAGCAACTTGCTGATATCTTCACAAAACCTCTGCCTAAAGATCGGTTTAATTATCTCAGGAGCATGCTAGGAGTGAAATCAGCTCAAGACTTAAAGGGGAGTGTTGAATTATAAGTCTATAGCTGATTAAGTATTAGAAATAAGATGAGTTTTAATGTGTGTATTCACTTGAACATATCTGCCAAGTGTAAGGTTAAATGATGTAAGGCCATGAGTGCCATGTGGTATTTGATCCATGTAATTAGGTTGATGAGTGACTAAGATTAAAAGTAGTGTTTTGTGTGGTCCTAAAGCTAAGGCCATCAATTAAATGTAAAGCAGTGTGAGTGCGCATGGTGTGTGCTGTACAAAGATTATTCCTCTGCAATACTTTTGCAAGAGAGAACAGAAAGTAAATTTTTCGGTTCAGCTTCTTCTGTCTTTTGTTCTTGCTTCTGTTCAGCCTTCTGGAAATCAAAACCCAGCAGAAATCAAAGTAACACTAACACTCTTGCAAACAGTTTTGGCAATTTTATGTTCAGCCAAACTTACATTTGTTTTCTTTTTTTCAGTGAATTGCGCTCCGAAACTGAAATGCCATCGATGTATCCCCATGCTAGAGCAGTATTGAATGCACTGAAAGAAAAAGGAATCGACCTTGCCATTACTTCGAGGTCACCAACTGTGGATATTTAGACATTTTTTGAAAAATTGAACATCGAGTCAATGTTCGTTGCCCAGGTGATGCTTCAGAGCACAATGCCTTTTTCTTTCTTCAGTTTCAATTGGGATTAAGAGAGCTGCCAAAGATGTGCTGACTGTAACACTTCGTCGATTGAGTTTTATTTGTAACTCTGAATTGCTGTTTATACAGGAGATTTTTCGGAGTTGGACGCACAAGACAAATCATTTTCAGCGAATTCATACGAGGACTGGGGTCTCCTTCAACTCAATGCTTTTCTTTGATGAGGAAAATAGGAACGTCCAAGCGGTAAGATCATGCCTTCCATTTCTTCTGTTGCAATTGTTCTTATTGCTATTGTTACGATTACCTTTTGGATTTGTGCTATCAACTTTTGAATTATTATATTTCTCACCATCACCACCACCGTCGTCTCTTAATATCATGAAAATAAATATGAATAAATCATCTGTTGACCCTTGATCGTTTCCAAATACATGACTTTTGCCTAAAATATTTTAATTTAAAAATAATGAAGAAAAATTGTGTGAATTATTTGCTAGTGTTTAAGAACTTACTACGGCTTTAAATTTTGATGCTTACGGAGGATGATGGTATCAAAATGTTTAGAAAAAGAAGTGATTAGGGTTAGTAACGTTAGTTTTAAGTGTCGACACTATGCGTGACATGACTTTCTCCAGCACACTTGGGCAAAGCTGAAAAGGAACAGTTTACAGATCTAATCATAGGCAACTTTTACAACACTTAGAAGCTGGTGTGAACCAACTCCCTCTTTTTTGGTGCGGAAATAGCCCCGCCCTTTTTCCCTTCCAATTTTGCTTCTCCTTATCAGAAATCACTGTTTATCTATACAATGTGTGACAGAAGTGTTACTTCGCATCAAGTCTCCGTGCCAAGAGATTTTATTTTTATACTCAGTCTCACCCATTTATCAAAATTTTGTAATGGTATTTACAGGTTTCAAAGATGGGCGTAACAAGCATTTTGGTGTTCAATGGGGTAAATGTTGCAGCGTTGAGGCAGGGTCTTACAAATTACGCCGAAAATGTGAATACATATGAGCGGAACATGCAGAAATGGCGCACAATGTACCCCAAAAGTTCAAGCTCATCTGGGAAGAATGAGAAGGAATAAATCTTCCATAGATGTTGAAATACGTACAACTTGAAACTTATTGATGCGGTTCCCTGTATTGTAAGCCGGTTATGGCGATGATTTGTTGTATCAATTACCAAGAAACGCCCTAGACAGCTAGAGCCCTCCCATCTCGCCGTCTCCTTCATGTGTATTGTAAGCTGGATGTTCAGGAAACGGTATCAGTCAACCAAATAAAAATTTGATGTTATTATGAAGTAGTAATTTTCTATGCCATATATGAGTTTTGAGTAGATTTTGGGTCCCAAAGTGATCCCTCTGTGTTGTTCTTGTAGCAGCAGCTTCAAGGTTTCGGGTATATTCCGATGAAATATAATTTCTCAGACCGAGCTGATAATCGTTTAATCTTCTTGCATTCGAAATCATCGTTGTGATTATGTCGAATCTCTGATTCCAAACTACAGTATCTCCATTACATTATCAAATAACATTGTTAATTTTTTTTAACAACTGAAATTTACAATTTTCAATAACACAAGGATTTTATAGGGCTGATTGCATTTGGGAACTGAATTCCAAGTGCATGTTTCGTCACAGCTCAGTCTCATACAAAGGAAAAATTATAAGAGCTTCGTGGCAACTCACAAAACAACACACAGCAGTAAATACAAAATATTTGTTTGCCCTTGCCATTCGCTAACTGGTTCAAGCTCGATACGGTCTCAAACCCTTTCACATTCGGAGTACATTCCTTCGATTCTGGCGCCTCTACACGAACAGAAAACATTACAGTCAAATTTCCCACAAATATTGAATGCATGAGAATGTGTTTCTGAAGACTCTAACAATACTCAATGCCCTCGACACATTGGTTGCATTCGACTTTGATATGCACTCAGCATGATCTATGAGAAACAAATAAAATTCTGAAACAACTATCTCTTAACTCCAAAGCGTAACCTTTAAGGCGCTGCATTTTCATCCTGCCCTCACCCATTTGCCCATTACAGAATATGCATAATATCCCAATAAGTGGGAAGATTACGTAAAAAGAACGACTCACATATGCATTTAATGTTCCTGTATGTAATAAACTAAAAAAAATTTCGATAACTCCTGAAAATTAAGAATTAGAAGATGACAGTAAAAGAAGGCGTGGGTTTTGAATTACCTCGTGTCATATTCTTTAGTGAAAACTTGTATTCCTTCTCTTAGTTACAAACTCCTGCTGATTCATTTCTTTCAGTGGTGATCTTCCAGTAATACATGCTTCAAGTTTTCTTGCTGAGGGTGATATAGAATTGTTTTCATTCTCTTGGGTAGAATCATAGAGCTCGTTATCCACTTTCAAATTCATTGCTGGTTTCACCTCTTCCTTGCACGTTTGCAATATTGTATCCAAAAGATTCATCATCTCCACATCCTCACAAGTGAATTCACCCATACGATCACAGAATTCTTCAAAGTGAACAAGAACGTGCTCCCTGTCTTTTGATAGACTTGCGGTGTCTTGAAAGAGAACCCGTTTTTCAAACTCAAGCTGTTTGGCTATGCCTTCCAGTCTCCTCTGTTCACCCATCAGTTTGTCATTTTCCAGTTTGTTGGCTTCCAATAATGCTTGAAGTCCAACTGCTTGTCGTTTTTCAGTAAACAAGGCTTCCTCCTGATTTTTCAAACTTTTTCGCAAACCAGATACTTCCTTCTCCAACTCAATGAGTTTTGTGTTCTTCTCTTCAATCTCTAGCTCTGTCATATGTTTGGCCTCCTTCAAAGCTTCAGTAAGCTTTTCAATTGTAACCAAATTTTCTACAACTTCTGAGAAGGACGATATAAATGCACTTGTCAAGTCTTGCTCTAATGACGATGCCAGTACCTGAAGATTTTTTATTTCCTCATCTTTCTCATTTATAACCTTGAAAAGCTTGTCTTTCTCTAGTCCAACGGTTTTCTCTGCGTCAATGCTTGCAAAAATTGCTGCTTCCACTTCTCTTGTCATGGCCTCTTGCTCCATCTGCATGATATCATTTTGGAGTTTTTCTATGCAGCTATCCTTCTCCTGCGCATTTTCATAAGGTTCTCTGTGATTTCTGGGATGAATTCCACTTCCTCGTTCTTTGCTGCAACTGTAGCTTCTAGAAGGACAATCTTCTGCTGCAAAACTTCCCTTTTTTTAGTCTCCTCTTTGATAATGGTGATGAGGCTGTCTTTCTCGTGCATAAGGGTTTCTTCATACTCAGCTTGTGCAAGAAGTGAATCCTCCATTTGTCTACATTTTTCTTGATTTCCATGCCAGCACACTTTCAATCTTTCAGCTCGAGATTTCCAATTCTGTAATTCAAATTCTAGCAGACTTGCTTCACAAACTTCCTCAGCCAATTCAAGATTTGCCTTTTCTAAAGCCAAAGATACTTCTCGTTTCTCCATTTCCATCTGCACTAATTGTTCTTTCATGTAAAGTTGATGCACAGATGATTCCTCAAGCATCTTTTTAAGTCGTTGAACCTCTTCCTCCATGATCACCTGCTGCTGTTCAGCGAGTTCCAAGGACCTTACCCTCTTCATTAGCATTTCTGCTTTGACGTGCTCTTGTTCAAGCTTAAGATGAGCATTTCTTAAATCACTGTTCTTCATCTCCAACTCTGTTTGAAGTAGAGAGATCTTGTCATCCATTCTATTACACAGCTCCATCTCAGTGCTTTCATCAGATTTGTTGGAGTAAGCCTCTGAGAGTTCTGATTTAAAGATCGTAAGTAGTACTGAAATCTCTACATTTAAAACGTCGATCACTGAATGGCAGCTTTTTAGCTCCATCTGAAGCTTCTGTATTTGCTCCTCTCTATCCTTCAATTCAAAATTGTGCCTGCTTTCATCTCCTTTCATCTTCTCTATTAGGAGACTCACTTCAGATTCTTTTGCTTTCAGATTTGTGGAACAGTTGCTATGTGTCTGCTCCATGCCCCTAAGCTTGTTTCGCAACTTTGTTAGAGAAGCTGGGGCACAATTTCTGATTTGAGCTTCCTGCAGTTCTTTTATAGATTCTCTCAATTCCCGATTCTCTTGCTCAAGGTGAACAATTCTAAATTCCGTTTCTTTGGAGAGTGATTCTTTTGTTGACAGTGAGTTTCTTAGCTTAGCAATCTCTTCATCCCTTCGAACAGTCAAGCTATCAAACTTTGACCTTTCTTCTTCACACTGGGCAAACACATTTTCGTAACGTGATCTGAATTCAGACACTTCAACCTCCAAAAACTTCCTCTTGCTTTCTTCATGAGCTAAAGCATGGTTGCACATTTCCAAACGTTTTTGAACGCCTTCAAGAATTCTAGTTTGGGAATCCAAGTTTGTCTGCAACAAAGAGAGCTCTTCAAGCAGTGCTGATTTTTCCCTCTCCCACTCCTCTTTAGCCAACTGGAACTCAGCTCGGAGCCGTCTATGCGCTTCTTCAAGATGTGTAAACTGTTCTTTTTTCCATTTCAGCTGATCTTGAGCATTTCTATTTTCCTCCTCTAACCCCATTATGACATCATCTCTTTGTCTCAGTTCTTTGGCTTCACGAGCTTTCTGCTCTGCCTCGAAACACTTCCTCTCTATAGTCGATAAGAGTCTTTTAAGGCCCTCAATCTCTTTAGTACTTGCACCAAAATTCTGCTCCAACTCTACGTTTCTCTCAGTAGCTTCATCTAAGGCAGATACTAACTCTCTATTTTCCCCTTCCAATTCTTGCAATTTCTTCTCACTATCAGCTCGGAGTTTTTCATGCAAAGTAGTCAAATGCCTAAGCAACGATTCTTTTTCAAGCAAACGAGACTGGAGGGTTTCAGAAGCCTGCCTTGATTGAGAAATTTCCTCAAGCTTGACATTTAGTTCTTGAGCTTGTTTCTCATTCTCCCGCTTCGCTTCTTGAAACTTGATCAACTGCTCATTGTGAGCTTTCTTCAAAGCATTAGAGAGTTCAGTCTTAACCCGGACTTCAGTCTTAAGCCTCTCCACCTCTGCTTTAGCTTCGTCTAGTTCTTCATATACGTCCTCCATTTCCCCTTATCATCAACTTGTGAGAGGCTTTAATGCAGTAAAGATCTGAAGCATGAAGAAACACATTAACGTGAGCATTTTCGTATAGAAAACTGAAAACAACCAACCACATAGACAGACGCATGAGAAGAAAAAGCGGGGTTTGAAGTATTTAAGACTAAGAATTCCATGAGTATCATGTGCCTTTGGTAATCCCACATCTGCAGCATATGGGATTAGTTGTGGTGGGTATATGGATCATGGCACTCTTTCCTGCAACTTCTGCCCCGCTAGTTGACACCCTTTGGTATCGGAACATACACTAGGTCGTGTACAGAATTGGGCATAGTATGGTTATGACTCCATTGCTACCTACCTATAGACAGTTGGGATCTGCTGCTAACGGTGACTGGAATGGGGCTCCTTAGTTGTGAAAAGGGCAAATTGAGCCATAAATTCGACCAGATTTTCCGAATATAATTTGATCGAAAACTTGCAAGTATCTACTGGAAAAAGAATAAAAACAGATGAAAAACACAAACATGAACCTGATTCTCGAAACACCAATCAATAAATGGGGCAACAGAGAAAACCCACATTAGGATTTCTTATCAATGTACTTGTCTGAGTGCAAGAAATTTCACCAAATCGTCGAACGGGTTAACGAAACTAGAGTTAAACGATGGTCAAAACTCGAGATTTTCATGATTCAACTTCGGTTTTGGAAAGATTTGGGCAATATGGAACCTAGAACACCAAAATTATGACCTTGGAAGTGGATTTATTCAAAATATAAGCAAGAAATTAAAGGAGAAAACGAGAAATACCTGGAACGGAATGAGTGAATAGCAGATGAAGGGGGTTTATGTTTCTTTTTCTGTTTCTGTTTCGAATCTGGATTTGTGTGTGTGGGATTCAAATGGTTGAGTTGAGTGGGAAGCAAATTCGAATGGTTTCAAAATCTGATATGAGGGCCAAAATGGGAAAATTCGTTTTTATATCTTTTCGCAACCACAACGGTCAGAAATTTCTTTTCGCACCACAACGGTCAAAAAATCTCTTTTAAAAGGATAACCTTCTTAAAACAAAAATATTATTCTTCTATTTCTATAACATTTATATTATCTTTTTAATAAAGATGAGACCTAGATGAGTAACTGTAGTATTATTCTTCTTAAAGTCATAAAATATTTCGGTTTGAATGTGGACTAGTCATCAAACCGTCACCCATTAATACAACACCAACATTATTTGATTCCAAATTCAGAGCAATGCCTATGGTACCCTCTTCAAATTCTACTAATTCACCTACCATTACTTCATCAAGACCATAAATACGAGCAATGTCATCCCCTACTTGAAGTACAGTACCGGTATGTAAAATCTTTACTTCTCTATTATATTGCTCAATACGCTCGCGGATAATATTACTAATTTCATCTGCTCGAATGGTTACCATGAGTATTTCTTTTTTTTTTTTATGGAAGAAAAAAATAATGCCTGCAGTAGAAGGACTAATCCGTTATTTGTATAGAAGTAAACTACATATTGTAATAAGTTATAATTTTTTTGTCCCAATTTAAGGGCACACACCTCTACATAGTAATAATTGTCGATAAGTTCAAAAATTTTGCAACATTTTTCGGTTGCAGAGTCAAGGCTTCTGCTGGCTTTGTGATTAGAGATGAAAATCGAATCCCTAGAGTTGCGGGTGCGAGAAGTATGAGAAAAAACACCATTTCAGTTGCGGATGCTCTCGCGAGGCATGATACTCTAAAAGTTGCTTAGAATAAGGGCTTTAAGAATGTATGGGTGGAGGGGGATTCTAAGCTAGTCATTGAAGTGGTTAAATACAGATACAAGACTCCATGGAGAATTCGATCCATTACAAAGGATATTAGAAGCTTGGCGGCTTCCTTTCGGACTATTTCTTGGAATCACATTTTTCGGAAGCGAATTTCCTTGCAAATGTAGTCACTAGTTTAGGAATTGATATTACTGATAACTACGTTTGGAAACACAGTTCCTAGTGCCAAACTTGCTTATGCTTTTGATGGAGTTGGAACTGGTTATAATTGTGGTTTTTTTATTTAATGAAGTTATTTTGACAAAAAAAAAAAAAAAAAAAAAAAAGAAGAAAATATGTAATATCACAAATAAAAGTTAAAGGTAGCCTAAAATATTCCTCTAAAGTTGTTCGGGGCAATGCTTTACTTTTTAGAGTTGATGTCACGTCTTTGAGCTTAAGAGTATATATTACTTTGTCAACATGGACATTTCTTAGTACAAGAATTCAATTTTTCTTACCGTTGGAAATCAAATGATTGAGAACAACCCATGTCGACCACTTTCAGGGAGTTGTGAGTGCGTTGCCAAGTGGGCTCCGCCACCTGCTTTTGGTCGGCTCACTCGTTATCTTTCGCACACGAATGCCACGCGCCTGACACAAAAAATAATATGATGTGGGTGACGTCACCAAATCGCCTCAAGCAAGGCCTCTGGCCATTTTAGGCCGACTGCTTGGTACACGAAGTTGGGCCCACAATATGTGGGGCAATTGGCATGAGCTGGAGCATGTTTCGGGGGTTCAATTGTCCATTGGGTAGTGCAATTGTAGAGGTGGAGTTGCTCTAAAGGCCGGAGACCCAACCTTTGACTTTGAGGGGTTCCCGAAAAATTTCAAAGCAATGATTTCAGATCGCTAAGGAGTCCTGAAACCGCTTAGGTCCCCTATAAAACCGCCATTGGCTCTGGATACCGGTTTATAGGAACCAGCAGTGCGTATAAAAAAGCAGGGAAAGAAGATAAAGGAGAAACAAAAAGAGGCTGTTTCATTTCATGGAAACCCAATTGACATTGACAAGCAGAGGCATGTAAACCATAAGCTATGTCTCACACTCACAGCCGGGCAAGCCGGTCCCCAGCTGAGTCATCCAAATACAAAAACACATTAAAGCTACTATTACAATCCAGCTTATTAGTCTAACAAAATGAGCCTTACATGAACCAAAAGCTCAACAATCATAAAAAGCATTATTCTGATAAAAGCATGGAAGATTCAAATTCACAGGTTTGCATCTTCTTGAAAGCATTCGTGGAAGACAATTGTGTCTCTGCCGACATAAAGGGATTTCGCGCGTGAACCCTTATGGTTTTTTTTTATCAGTTCGCAGACTCGTCTTTCTTCACGAATGAATAACATTTAACATCCTGGATCCTCTCCTTTTCTTAAGTAAATAACATTGGCAAATACTTGCTGGAAACAATCAAGAAGCACCCAGCATGCCTTTTCACACAACTATACAAACAACGAATACTAATTCAAATGCAACTCACTAACAGAATCACGAGATTGGAAACATGAGCAAGGTTCACCGGTGTCACTTTTTGCCTACGTATGGTCTCTTTCCTCAATAAGCAAGTGTTCAAGTTCTTCCCTTCGCCGCTCCAAGTCCTATGATTGTTCCATACAGGTGAATGAATGTAAGCAAGCTTCCATGATAGATTAAACATACATAACGTTGACAAGCACAACTTAACATAACTCAAAACAGACTATTTAGAAATACTAGTAGATTTTAGCAGAAATCTTATAGTGATTTAAGCCTTTGATGTCACGGGCCTCACGGCTAAAGCTTGATATCCCTATAGTAAGAAGCATACAGAAAAGGAAGCATGATAAGCAAATGGTGAGAACTTACCTCAAGATCCTTTACTGCTTGCTCCCTTGAAATTTCTGTCTTCTGCCGAGACCGTTTGAGAAAGCCAATGCATAGGATTCCCTTAAAATTCAAATATTAAAGATTAGTAGTTTGAAGGGGCAGAATATGAGGAAGAAAAAGGGCACACTAGACTTTAAGTTATATTTGAAGTGGCAAAGGCAGGGCAAATGGCTCTCAACATATAGATGTAATATATTCAGACCAAAAGATATTGAACAATAACGGGATAAATGATTTGTGAGGGATAAAGAAAATATAAAAGTTTAGGGAATACCCATGCATCTCCTACTGCTAGTTAATCATAATTCATGAACCAGAAAACAAGGGCTGCACTATAGATAGCCTAAGTAGAGCCATAGCCCCTCCAAGAACTTTACAATCCCCCTATGGTTGATGTTACACAGCTCATATATATGAAGGGAAAGTTTAAACAACTAGGTGAGTGCCCTTCCACCCCAACGCACAACAAATTCCCTGAAGTCGTGAATGGGTTAGTTGCTTAGCAACAATTACCCAATCACTCATGGAATTAATCGTGTTCCTAGAAGAGAAACGTTAACCTCAGCTAGCAACAGGAGCCATGCTGAGTCCTAGTTAAAGAAGAATCTTAGTTTTGATTACAATCGGCTTCATCGAACCAAATAAACATTGGATTCTTCCAATTAAAAGAAGAAACAGACAAAACCACATGCATACTCACGCACAAGTTTTCAAAATTGTTATAGGATTCGGCTATTTAAACCTACCGAAATAACATAGATCCCACCACAAGCAAGGAGCATATAGCTCGCTATGTCCTCTAGAAGAACTAGATCCTTTTTTGTACTGGAAGTGCTAGGAAAAGCTCTTGTCATGACCGCAAGGCTGGTACAAAGAATCACAGCGTCAGAAACCACGTAAAATTTATGCAACAGCCATAAAAAGGACTTGCTTCAGCGTAATACAGGCACACGCTATCCAAATTATGGCACTAAAGCAAGCTTAACTTTAATGTTAGCCCCAACATTATTATACTGTTACAAGGCTAGGCAATATACAGATTGGAACGAATTCAGTCGTGCTCCAAAATCTCGAGGTGCAAAAAAAATACTCTATGAGAGTGAAACATGACATTTCTCACTACATCTGCAAACTTACAAGATTTGTAGCATACCTCTACCAGCCCAATACTCCAATACCTGCAAATAGTTAACACAATATTAAAATTAGATCATGGATGCAAAATTCGGCACCCTAGCACCAATATTTCAGTTAACTTTGATGCAACCCTTAAATAGTAAATTGCTGATTTAGCCTGAACAGAGTCAGAATGAGAGAAATGGAGACGAAAATTCATCGTGACTGCCGTTATCAGCAAAGATTTAATGTTATCAGGTGCCAGTTTTGACGGTTGATGCATGCGCTACTAGCTAGAAAAACATATAGTTTCAAAAAGATAGTTTATTTGATATTCAGTTTTTATTGTTTCAATATCTTTGGAGTGGAGATAATGATAGCATCTTAGAACACCCCCTTCCATCAGTTGTTGGAGAGGAATGGGGGTCCCGATCATCGAAAATATGTGAGAATCCAATTTGAGAGATCATTTTCATAGACATTTGAGGTTCAAGGAATCCTAAGAGAGATGTCTTTTTACACTATGTTTGGTATCAAAGAGTGAGGAAGAGAAAATCAAAGTTCAGAAAGTTGTAAGGTTCTCTTGTGTTTAGTCACATGAAGTACATAAAGCGCAACCCCAAGCCAACAAGGCCCTTGCTTTTGCGGGAACCGGGAAACGTCTATCGTACGCAACATTACTCTTAAATAGATTGTTTTCACGACTCAAAAATGTCACAAAGCAGGAGGGGATCCAACACAAGGACTTCGCAGGAAGTACATGGCAGGAAAGTTTGATTAGAAACTACAAAACTTGGTAACATGTTAATGGGTAAAAATCGGTTCAAAATTAATTTCGAATATCGTAATTTAAATTTCATAAAAGTGAAAACGAACCTTCCAGAACTTCATAACGAATCCCCATTCCGTCTCGGCCACCACCACAATCACTCCAATCACGACGGCGTAACACCGAAATATCCCATCGAAAACCTGCAATTCACAACCACACACACAACCCCATTTGTAACTAACTCCACACTAATGCATAATTCACATACATACATACATACATACATACATACATATATATACACACAGAGAGAGAAGAGAGAGAAAGTACATCAGATCCATCACTGAAAGATTGAATGGCAGAGAAGACATTGACGACGATGCAGAGAAGGGCGGTGAGAGCGGTGAGGACGCTGAAGCATCTGCAGAAGATCAAGAAAGGGTCGGGTCTCGCTCTCGGTGTGGTTGTATTCGAAACTGGAGACGTTCTCTGTCCTAGGCCGCTTTCTACGTCGGCTCCATTGTTTGTCGACATTTTCTCGCGCTTTCTCAGCTCCGAGAAAATTTACAAGTAATGACACCAATCAATGCAGGTAGTAGCTCATATTTACGAATCCTAATGCATTGTCGGTTTCTGTCATGGCTATCAGGTTATGGATTTGGCGCTCTCTCTCTCGCTGTGAGCGGGATATTTTCCATACTTTGACCTGCTGGCGAAGGAAGGAACTGTATCGAACCGCAACGTGGATCGTTGATGGTAGGGCCTGGTTTGATATTTTATAACATCTCCTTCTTATCCAATCTTCAACGCAATGATATTTTAATAAACGGATATTTTATTTAAACGAGTTTTAACGAAAAGTCAATCCTGGTACTATTTATTTTTCCATTTATTTTATCCTTATTATTAAAACTAAAAGTTTTCAAAACCTTTTCATTAGCTTTCTTTTTTTTTTAAAACATATTTCTACACTTAACTAACTTTTTACATCTATTCGGTTTTTAACCAAACTATCATATCTCTTTAAATAAAAATTTATTATTTTAAATACCCTCATAAGTCTAATTCAATATGTAAATTTATCTTTACATCCATTTGGAAAATTAAAAATTCAAAATCAAAGCATTTTATTAACCTCAAGTCCGACAACTTAATTTTCTTCTCTTTCCCAGTCTTGTTCATAAATATCTCTACCAACTTTATAAATTTTGACGTGTTCATCTTTATCTGATTTCTCCCCTATTCTTATAGTTATTCACACCTGCAGAAATCACTTTCATCTTATCATGCTTTGCCTAAGATGCCTTGGTTGATATTTCACCTTCTAATGTGCTAAAATATGAGCCCCTTTTAGGGTTCTTTAGCCTGTTTTGTCATGTTTGGATGTAAATTAATTGAAAGGAGTAATTATATGTCCTGAATAATTCATAAATCGAGTCACAGAGGATTTAAAAGTTCAAAATCATCATCCATCAATAAAAAAACTTGTTTTTCTCTATAAGAGCTATTAGGTTTTAGCCGGAATAAACGTTGGATAAACACAGATTGATGGTGGAGTTTAATTATAATGTGTGCGTTTATTAATAAATTTGAGTTTTATTATTAATTTTATTTTGTACTTAATAGATGTGATTAAAGGCAATTAAATTTAAATTCTTTAGTATAAATTGAGTTAAAAAATTTCACTTAAAAATCCTCCATCTTTGAATTGGTTAATTCATAGATTAAATTAATAGGGACGTCTGACTTTTTTAAGTGATAGACTTTCATGGATGCATTAATTTTTTTTTTTACTGACTATTACATACTCTATAAAACTTCAGACTTCTAATTATATACTTTTGCAAAAAAAAAAAAAAGTACATGATAGATTTTTGCAGAATTTTAAAAAGTTCAATGCTAGAATTTTGAAAATTATGTGGCTGCCATGGACTTTTTAATACTAATTTTACTAATAAGTATTATTATTTTTAAGTTTTTATTATTGAAATGATGATCATGCCATGATAAAGAGGTTTTATGAGGTGGTGGTGGTGACAGAGAGGTCTTACATTAGCATCTCTCAATTTTTTTCTCAATCCGCTTGGACAAAACTTTACGTTCATAGTATTGAGACTGTATGGAGAAGTGTGACATCCCGTCCCGGAATTATCGGAAACGTACGTGTGAAAAGACTGTTTTGCCCCTAGTTTGTTTTCGTTATGTTTTTGGTTGTTTTGTGTGGTGTTGGCCAGAGTTGGACCACACACACACCCTGTCACTTTCCCTCTCCCTCTGTCTTTTCCCTGTCTCTCTCTCCCGAGCCCATTTCCTTCCTCTTCCTTTTGAAAGTGTACGGACACACACAAACACACTCAACCACTTGCAGATCGAGGGAACCAAGTACACCATCAAGTTCGTGAGGCTGAGAGGAGTCCAATGGTGCCATTTTCAGGTAAGAACTTCGACGTTTTTACGTCGATTTCACAAGCTCCGTTTGGGGTACTATTCATGCAAATTTAACCTAGCTAGTTTTTGGGATTTTGAAGCTTGTAGTTGTGTTTGTGAGGTTCCCAGGAGCTTGGGAGTGCTTCGTTGGATAAATTTGGACGTCGGGAAAGCTTGGTTCGAAGTTGGCCGGTTTTTGAGTTTGAAGACAGGTATGATCGTGTGGTTTTTAGCCTTTAAAAGTAGTCTATCGTGATTCTCCTAGGTTTAAGCGTCATTTTGGTTCAAGAATCATGAAAATTGGTTGAAAAATGAGTGAGAAAACCTAAGTTGCAGGTTTTCCCAGTTTCCGGCGCCGGCGACGTTGCGGCGATCGAAGGAAGAAGGCGACGGAATATTCCGTCAATTCTGACGGAATATTCCTAACCCGTTAACGGAACCAGTTAGACTTAACGGAATATTCCGTCAGTTTGACGGAATATTCCTGACGGCGTCTGTTGACCCGTCAGTGTGCCTGGCACGTTGGCCGCGCGTGGGTGGCGCGTAGGGCCGTGCCTGTTCTGGCGCGTGGGGCGCGTGCGGGGTCCAAAAATTATTTTAAAAATATGGTTGTGATCCTGAGGTTGTGTAGAGCACGTTGGTATATTCATTTGTCCATTTTGAGCAATGTATGAGAAGTTATTACGAGAAACGGTGTTATGTGCTTTAAAGTTAACTTTTTATAGTTGTTTCGCATCTAGGTGACACGTACCCAGAGGACGAGCGTGCACATGCGAGACAGGGGGGCTACGACCCTTCTACATACCAGTGAGTGGGCTTTTGTTTTCCGTATATACCTATATACATTTATATTCCCAGAAATTGATTTAAAAAGGGTTATTTGCCTTATGCCATGTACTTTATTATTTATCGTTTATGCATCGTTGCATGCATTATTGTGGCATACATATACATATGCATATGTCATATATATTTATGTGTGGTGCTGTGGAGGCATAGGTAAGTGCCAGGTAAGCGTTAATTAACGATTGCATTACATAGTGTTTAGAGATGCTTAGAGAGCTCATAACCTGCACCCCCGGTGTTAGTGCTCCCGCCCAGAGTAGGGCACAGTCCTTCACGTGTTGTTCACCTCCCGCACCATACGCTCAGCTTGGATCCAAGTTAGGTGCATAGGCCTGTCGTACAGACCACAGTAGGTGGTTCCGACTCGTAGGTGACCCGCGATTATTCGCACAGCCTTCACGTGATCGGAGCACTAGAGCGTACATACATGTTACACCCAGGCCTGTCGTACAGACCCCTTTAGGTGGTTCCGACTCGTGGGCAGGTTTAGTTGTTGAGATTGAGATTTGAGCTATAGATTCAGCCGTACAGGTCACTTTAGGTGACTCCGGCTGCCAGTGATAAGTTATTGACACGGTTTATACCTGAGCACTTGCATATTATTATGAGGTTTTGAGCATGACGGCATACCTTTGAGCATGATGGCATATCCTTGAGCATATTTGGCATATTTATACCTACGTATATATGTTTATTTTCTGGGAAGTATACAGGTTTTACGGCGATGGGTTAGAATGTATTTTATGAAATGGTTTTCAAAGAATTTGTTTTTGCCCACTCACGCTTTTGTTTTGCGCCCCTCCAGGTTCTAGTAGCTTAGCGGGTTCGGTGGTTTTCCCAGAGGACGTCCCGGCATTTCTGACAGACATGCACCGATGTAGGGTCACCTTCGGGTGCACTATTGTTGTATCTTTTCTTTGGACTGCTGTGGTCTTTAGGCTCTAAATTCAGCGTCTCACTTACGCTAGCACCTATTTTATCACATTACATATGCTAGTTTTAAATTATTCGTACTTTTATATTATTTCCTTTAGCTTCCGCATTGTGCACTTGGCTACGTCACCTCCACGTGATGGCCAGCATGCCCTGATTTCGGTTGGGGTGTGTCAGTTTGGTATCAGAGCCTAAGTTTGGCAGTCCTGTGTCTTTTGTGAGTATTCTAATGGTTTTGGTGCCTTCTGTCAGAATTATGCCGCCTCGTCGGGAACCACGTCGCTCCGATGAGTCTAGTTTCCCCGATATCACTAAGCTGGGGGAAGCTATTGCTACCGTTATCCAAGCAGTTATTCGCCTTCCCCAGAGGACTCCTCTGGAGACTATGTACAATCTGAAATTGGATATGTTCCACGGTCATGAAGGACACGAGGAAGCAGAGCGTTGGTTGGAGCATATTGAGAAGACTTTTCGAGTATTGAATAATCAGGGGAATCTTCCTGTGGAGAGATGGGTCAAGATGACCTCATGGTTTCTGGGTACGGAGTCTACATCCTGGTGGGAGCAGGAGCTTCGTCGTTTGACTCCAGCCGAGCAGACTGACTGGAATGTTTTCATTAGATTATTCAAGAGGAGATTTGTGCCCCCTGAGTACATCGATCGCAAGAAGCAGGAATTCACTGAGTTGAAACAGCGGAAGATGACTGCGAACGAGTACTATCGGAAGTTCACCGACTTATCTCGCTACCACCCTGAGATTGCTGGTAATCCAGCAGAGATGCTTCGTCGTTTTCGCATCGGCACTAAGAAGAAGTGGCGTTCGATGTCGACCTCCACTCATTGTGATACTTATCAGGAGTTCTACGAGGTTTTGCTGAGAGTTGAGGACTCTGAGAACATGACAAGCGAGAGTGATGACGATGAGAAGAATGGTAATCAGAAGAAAGATGTCAAGGGTAAAGGTCAAGCGTCGCTCGGGCCTCGTCAGACTCAAAACTTCAAGAGGGGTGGTAATAGCTCTAGTTCTTCTAGTGGTGGTTTCAGTGCCACTGGTCAAGGACGAGGAGGTAGATTTACTGGTGGCGCTCGAGGCCAGAGACAGGGTGATGGTGGTCGAGGTAGGGCCCCACTTTGCCGAAGGTGTAATAATCGGCACACTGGCGAGTGTAGGCGGGGCAGTAGTGGTTGTTTTACTTGCGGGCAGATGGGACATCGAGCCACGCAATGTCCCCAGAGTCAGCAGCAGAGGCCGCAGCAGACTTTCCTGCCACCACCTGCCCCTATCCAGCAGATTCAGGGTCCGAGCAATTATGGACAGGCAGGTCGGGGTGGTGCCTACCACTACCAGGGTGATGCTGTTCCTTATGCCCCGGGACAGTATCAGTATCCTCAGGACCCCTATTCCCAGGGTGGTTACCCTCAGTATTCTGGCGGCTATATGTCGTACCCTCCAGCTCCAGCCGGCGGTTCTCAAT